CCCCCCCCCCGGTCAAATCTTGCTCAAAAAAGCCCGGTCTAGATAGGGTTAAAGAACTACTAATTCTGTAGGTAACTGCCAGGTGTTTTTAATATTAAAACAGTACATTTATGCAAATCATGATTCCCAAAGGATTAAACTCCCAAGGGATTAAAGTCTCAAACTTGTGTTTGTTAACTGAGATGACATAAAATACAATTGGGTATCATATTTGTCCACACCAGAATACAAAACAGTTTCTGTCAATTTTTTAGTGATTTACAAATGTTTAGTTCTCACGCGCAAAAAAGGTTGACATCTGCGCGTGAAACAATGTACCTTGAAAACATATAAAATTTAGCTTATAGATTGGAGAAATGCCTCAAGTTGTTACATTTTACATAAGAAAACCATATACGTTTAATATTTTATTGTATTTTTGACAGATTTAAGCAATTTCTAAATGATTTGCAAAGTACCTTATTTCCAGGGGACCTACAGAATCAGTAGTTTTTAAAACAAAGACCATGGCTGACAAATGGAAAATTATATCACGGGATCACGTTTTTCTGTCTATTAGAATTTTGTTCTGCACATTTTCTGACGTATTTTAGGAAATTAATTTTTCACGCGCACAAATTTCACACGCGCACAAATTTTTCACGCGCAGAAAACACGTTCCCACAATTTTCACAGTTAATGTCTCCGAGTTAAAAAAAATGATGCTTATTCTTTTATGTAGGAGTTACCAACCTTGCAAGGCGCCGGAGCACAGCACAATCCAGCACCGGCTACGGCCTAACATCCTCAAAAGCTGTGGATGGGATCACAGACGGCATTGTATGGCACTACTCGTGCACACATACACACACCCAAAGCAACCCATGGTGGCGGGTGGATCTGGGAAGTACCCGTACAATCTTCGCCGTCGATGTGTTCAACCGTGTCGACGAGTGCTGCAGCGATAGGCTGAACCCCTTCTATGTGCACGTCGGTCACAGCACGAGCGTAACGAGTAACCCAACCTGTGGCGGCCAACAGTCCGTATCAGGGGACTACAAGTCCGTGCCGTGCAATGGTCTGCAGGGCCGGTACGTCGGAGTAGCTCTGCAAGGAAGCGGCCGCACCCTGACCCTGTGCGAGGTGAAAGTCTTCGGTAAGCCTCGTCCCTATATACAGCTTTTTCCCTCACTCAGCTTTGTTTCGTTGTGTTTAGCAGTTTTGAAGGTCATATGTATCCTACTTGTCCTCATTGCTTTAAACTTCTTAAAGTTGCTTCAAAAATAAGGTTTCTGACGTTCAATTTTGTTCTCCTCTCTGCAGGCGTGTAGGACATCTGCAAAGATCTTCAAGACCGAAGCAACGCGTATGAGATTCAGTAAGGGCCGCTGTTCAATCATTTATCTCATTTCTAGGATAAGGATTTAATGTCTTTCAAAATTTACTTTCTGCGTAGCAAAACACTCTGCATGCTCCATTCAAGAACGAACAAAATTTATATTTTCCATCTGCCATCTCCATTTTTCTGCCGACATCGTTTGATTAGTGAAGAAACATCACTGAGTTGGTATCCTAGAAATGAGATAATGTAGAATATAGTAATTATATATAAGCCCTTTGAGTTTGATACAACCTTTAGTCCATGACTTCACCAGAGTAAACGTCCATCTGTTTTTCCCTAAGTATGTACAAATAGCGTCTTTTAATCAAGTGTCGAGAGCTGGACTGGAAGATGTTGAAATCACGGTTTAAAAAAACAATCGTGACTTATTTTGAATCACACAAAATGAACAAAGTATTGTCAGTTTCTTTGTCCAAAATTATGATATTCAAGCTGCAAACGATAGCCAAAATACATTGTATATGAATGTTCAGTAATTGTCTGCTTATTAACACCAAAACATGATGAAGAAGCCTTGTGTCAGGAACGTTGGGTTGTTTCAGATTCAATTGGTACGACGGCAACTGCAATACAATGTCGGGACAACCGTACACAAACATTTTTCTGATTATTTACTAACTGAAGCATTTTTGAAGTGGACTAACTTAACGTTCAATCGATTTAACAATATCTGGCTACAAATTGTATCCAAAGCTACTACCGATAAAACGCATCAAAGAAACATACTATAAAATTCATTTATGCGAACGTGTTTAACATGCCCCTACATTGTATGTAGGAAAACTTAAGAATATATGAATATACCTTGTACAATAGGAACCCGGTCGTAGCTGGTTCATACCTTGGCTATTTTGTTGCGGCTACGTGAACTACATGTCTGTGAAAAATTAGCCTGTTCATGGTTTGAACTGCGCATGCACGAGGTCAAAGTTGAAGACCACTAACCTAAAAACACAAATGCAAATAACCGTGAATTCGATCCGGGTGGTAACTGAATAAATAGCAAAATCATTTATTTACAACCACATTTTTTTAATTAGCAAGAACCGACGTTTCGATGTAATTGTTAAAAAGTGGTTGTGAATCAAAAACTTTGTTTCACGCAATTAAGCAGTTTCGCAAGCAACTGGATAATTTTGAAAACTGTCAGACTATTACAGTAGCATCTTCTGATTTTTTATTTAGTCACTGAGTAACTGTTTTTGTGTGTATTTGGGTCTCTTACTGTGATCGATGTAACTTGTAATCAGTTCTTGTCTACACCAAATCCGAGACCATGTCCAGGAGTGTCTTGTTACGTCTCAAAAGCCTTTAACATTTTACACTGCGCATGCAAGATTTAAACCATGAACCAACTTACGCTATTCGATGGTGTGATTACCTTGTTATGACACGGGCTTTATGGTGTTCTTAATCCATTCTTATCATTTAATCTAATCAATTCATTAGTTATGAATTATGTACTAGTTGGCATCATGGTTACTCAATGATGACAGTTGTCTGATATCTCGTCACCATGTTGCCCGTTTGTAGCACTCAGGTCTACTTGTGTTTCAACCATCATAATTACAGAATCATAACATAACAAGTATGTTGATTAACATGTGCAAAAGGTAACTGTCAGACTAAGAAAGCCTTTTTGTTCATTCCAAATTGAAAGCAACAACATCTTCAGTTGATGGTTGAGATACCGGTATTATGCACCTGATAAGGATTATGTATACCCAAGATGTTATTTGTTTTAAAAGAAAGTAATGTATGAGTTGAGATATTGGTAATTATGAAGTAAAATGTGTTCAAATGGCGTTAAATCAGTTTACATCAATCCATAACCTTCATCAAAATCGATGTAAATGGTAAACTTGTATACTTGAATATCGGTGAGCTGCTGTTGATAGTAAACATCACACATCAACTTCCGGTTATGTTAGTAAAGCAAGGCAACGTCTGGTTAACATGTGTTCATTCAGCACGTCAGCAGAACTTACTGCGCCTGCGCCAAGCCCGTAATGTTTGTACATAACACTTCAGCAAAGCGTATTTGCATAAGTAAGGAAAACATCCCGACTGTACAGTGTAGTTTTGAAATTTTGTGTTGGAAAAGAATTCGTCTGCAAAGGAAAAATTATTTTGCTGACCAAACATGAAACCAAGAAGGTTTAGCGTAGGCACAGTGCCAGGGTTTCTGGCTACATGTATTCCTTACTGTATGACTTCCTTTGCGTAGTCAGGGCTCGAAATCCTTTTTTTCAGGTAGGTGCAAAATTGAACATTGACAAAAATTTTAGGTTCAATTTAAAACCAAATGATGTTCAAAAAGGTTAGACATCCAGATAATAAGGTAAGCCAAAAAACAGTTACTTAAGCAACTGTATGTTATTTTGGAAACGGTCAGACGTTTTAGGTACCTTTCGTCAGTGACACTAAGAGACTGCAGGAGAATGGAAGATTTATAAGGAAGAACTATTGATTGATATGCAAATAAGTAAAGACTCTTCACTTATTTGAATATCAATCGATAGTTCTGAAGAGTCCAAAAGGAAAGAAAAGTTAGAAAAGTCAAAACAAGGATGATGATTGCACATTGACAAAAAAATTGAAGATTGCACATTGGCAAAAAAAAAAGATGAAGCAAATTAGTCAAGAAGCTGCTGTTGTTTACGTTTCAGAAGTGTTGTCTGTCCTTGGGGCTGGGGGCGTCAATCCCAAGTAATTTTTGCTTCTTTGCCTGCAACGCCCCCCTCCCCCTCCTGCTCCAGGTGCCAAATTTTACATTTAAAATATTTTTAAGTATAAATCTTGAAAATTATGTTGATTTTGCACATTGCACATTGGTATTTCGAGTCCTGGAAGTACATATAGTGATCAGCATTCACCAATATTAGCTTTTTTTTTAAATCATAACAACATTATAGCCACGTTTTCCAAGTTAAGAGATCGTTTTGTCACTTTTAATTAGTCTGAATAAACCTGCATTTGCCGTCAAATATCTGTGTCCTGTCATGGTTTATTATTATTATAGTAGGTACTGGGTATGTACCGTATTGTTTGAGGGGGGGGGGACTAGGTACTGGGTAGGTAGTAATTTTTATGGGGGTTCTTTTTCCATAGAGGGTACATCTAGGTTGTAAATGTCCAGCTTGCATGACGCATATAATGACTAAAAACTACTAAAATACCCCCTCAGAATAGGCATTAAATAGGCATGCCTTCAAATGTCGGAGTTATCAACCATAGATAGATGTTCAAAAACTCGTGTTCTCATTGAACTATCGTAGAGTGAATAGCAGTCTAGCTTATGGTTTTGCTCATCAGCACCAACAGGCCAATTCGGTGCAGTACCATTCCAAGTAACAAGGTGTCATCAGTGCGCAATGTTCCGTTAGCTAGAACTTAGGACAACAGTGAGGTTATGAAGATTTGTTTTCTGCACAAAAATTTGTTCCAATATTATGACCCCAGTCCAAACATAGTCCATTTTTCCACCAAAATAGTGTGGAACTTGATCCTAAATTACAGGTGTGTTATAAACTCATAGCTTATAGGTAACAATAGGTAACCTAGAATGAGCTTCCTGCGACTGGCGTGCGGTTCCTCGCTGTAAGTCCACTCCAAATCGTCTCTTGACACCGAGGAGCCCATGATGTTTCCTTGATTAAACATTGATAAAGCTGGTAACATAAACAGCGCTAGTGTTCTATCATAAAACAGCAAAGTTAATCTTTCATTAACCCAAGTCATTTGTAGTGGAGCTGACAATAAAAACTTAAATGCTTTATTTCTGAGGTAACTTATGTGCAGATTTACAGGTAATTTCAAATCATAGTGTAGGCACTACACTAACCAAGGCGAGCCACCAGCTAACAGGGCGATACAGACACAGGGCTTTGAAGGACGTTTGAGTCGTTCTTAGTAACACTTTAAAAAGTTTGTTGGTCGGAAAGAGCACAACATGTAAACAGCGATTTGTCTTGTGCCACCCCAAACTTGTTGACATGCGAACCCGCCATACCATGCAGGCCACCCGTCTTCTAATGATCATAAACATGAAGAAACTTACCTGCGTTTGTCAAATTCCTTATCGACACACGTAACTAACTTGGAAGGTTGCTACAATGGAATTCCTGTTGCATCCAGCTTAGTGTTCTAGAATTTTGAATACTAGAACAAATTGGCGTTTGTGGCAATCATACTGGTAACGCATTAATGGTGACCACAGCCTAAGGGTTAAGATTGTGAGATTAAGGGATAAGAATCTGGTCGATCGAGTTGTTCACTCATTCGTAACGTAACCTTAACGCCCGTTCTATTGACCCCGGACCACAGAAAAGATGTTGTTAGGTGTATGTCATTATCATCATAGATATGGTGGGTGGATATTAAAGATGGGTGGGGAAGCTGTGCGAAACAATGTCTGAACATTTTTAGAGGGAGGGGATTGGATCGTCATTTGTCTGCCATCTTTCTTATGACACACAAAACCCCGAACGGTTCTCTACGTCACCTACAGGCAAAAACAAACACTATAACAACAATCAACATTTCTTTATCTGATGAAGGCACAGAGAAATGTCAGGTGTCAGGGATTGATCACGCACATAAGTTGTCTTTATTGTTAAAATGTTTTAGGTTTAGACGTTTTACGACAGACGTTATCATATATTCGACATTTCAGATTTCAGACCGACATAAACCTTGTGAATTGTGGCAAGTTGCTATTGCCTGGGGTCAAATGAGTATACAGGGGTGACTGTATAACGTTAGGTCAGTTGTTGAAAAGACTAACATTTCTCATCCGGAAACTGGCCCCAGATATAATACATTTGCCAAGCTCATCCCTAAAATAAGCTTAATATCAACTGGTAATGCCCATTACCGTGGTAGTTTTGGACAAAATATGTACACTGAAGTAAAATATGTATAAATCAGCTTTGTCTAGCGTAACCTTTACGAAGGTCATTTAACCAAAGGTTAAAAATAACAAGG